GGGAATGTTTTTCTCCTTTTCTAATGTCACTTCACTGCAACGAACGAACAAAATGAATAAGAACGAAAACTAAACGAACGTCCGAGCGAACTACCGCTAATGAATTTCGGAAACGGAAATTCGGATTCGTTTGCATTCGTTATATCTGTAATTCGGATACATCCGAATGTCCGAAAATTCGTCCGAATTACGTTTCGGAACGAAACGCACATGTCTACTATGGAGGTACTCAACCCATTCCCCACCCAAAATCTATAAGTGAAATATTCCATAAAACCTCCAGCCGAGGTGTTTTGTCTTTAAAGGGGTTCTAAAGCATCCGTTTTTTTTGCCTGTATCTACTGCTTTTTTCAAAAACCGCTTTAACAGCGGTTTATACTTTCCTCGTTATCGCTACGCGCCGAGAATCCGGAACTGCTGGTGCGGCTGCAAAGGATCTTGGGGCTGGCGCATGCGCAGTTCGGATTCTCGGCCGGGAGACGAGCAGAGACGCAAGGTGCGGGCGTGCACCCGCATGCAGACACCGCTGGATCGGAAGTGTCTGCAGAGAGGAGTCAGCACTGGATTGGAGGGACAGAGCAGTCAGCGCTGGATCGGAGAGCCGCCGCACCGCTGGAGGGACAGATGAAATCATCAGGAAAGAAGATCGTAATAAGAGACATCATTTAAGGTAAGTGCTAACATTAACATGGGGGGGAGGGAAATTTTTTTTTGACTTTAATGTCACTTTAATAGATTAGGTAAATCTAGATACCTTCGTCAAGATTATTGCTGTGTCCTCATTGGAATGATCACCTGATCACTCCAGTGTTTGTGCTGCACACACAGAGGATCGGTAAATAAATCCTCTGTGTGTACTGATTACTAAATCGGTACTGATATTTACCGATCATCCACAGTGCCACTGTCATCCTGAAACTGACAGGATGACAGCGGCTTCTCTCTCCTCCCCGTCCGCTGCTCTCCCTTGCCACTCGATCATCATGATCGAGCAGCTCGCTCCTCCACCCCCCCGGCTATTTGTATTCCGATCCCCGCTGCCTCAGCCCATACAAGCGGGGATCCGGGCCCCTCCTCTGTCCCAGGCCCCAAAGCGGCCGCATCGGTCGCTATGGTGGTAGTTCCGCCACTGATATATATAGCCCAGGATTTCCAGGTGTTCTGGAGAAGCTTAGTTTTATCCCTATTGAAGGCCACTGACTGTTGCTTTGCGCATAATGTCAGTAAAGGCTTCTATTCATCCCGCCGATGTGGGGAAATTTCCAATGTTTTGGAATCGCTGACTGCAATGAGGAAAAATGACAAAGATTTTTTTCACCAGCTTGAAGAATCCCAAAATAATGGAAAGTGGTGCTAACTGTGATGTGCTAATCTCAGAATTATATACCAGATAGAATGGATATGTGGACAGCCCCATCACATGTACTTCGATCTCCCTGGCAGCACCAACATGTTTTGGGGGTGGAGGGGAAGATCTTATGGAGTTTAGTGGGCCAATCATACCATCCGATGTGTAATTTATAATTGCGCTTATCTGCATTGCAAGAGATGGGATATGAGTAAGGGTGAACACTTTATGCCAGTCTTCTGAAGAGAAGGATTTTACAACAATCCCGTTTCCATTGCAGTTGGAATGGTGTTGGGAGTATGTTCTTTATGGGTCAAAAGTAATTGGTACATGAGGAAATCATGTGTTGTGGACATTGGGACTGAGTGCATAGGAACACAACAGTTGCAATGTATATGGGCTTGAGCTTTCCATGTATTTTTTAAAACCTGGAGTTGTCAATCCAGAAATCCAGTGCAAATTCTACTAGTGTGATGGGATTGGAGTTCTTTAGAGAAGATGATTAAATGTGTAGTTAAAATGTATTTAAGCCAAGGCCAAAAATCCATGTCCCTAGTGCCTATACTGGTGGAATGCAGGTCATAAGAAAATCTGAGGTTATCAACCAGAGGAATGAGTGGGCTCGGCCTTGTAGGGAGACCATAATGATCTAAACCAACAGCCTGCTGTGGTCACTATCAAAATAGATCCCTGATGCAGATCATCCTTTTTCAGTGGATCACACTGAGCGTTTTGTAGTGCTTTTTTTCCCCTAAAAAAAATCTGCCTCCAAAAAAATTCCCATTCATTTCTATAGATTCTGCTGTGAATTTGTGGGGGTCTGCTTGAGTGCGTAACTCACATGTTGTGATCTATCTAGGTAGGAGAGACTGCTGCTACAATACAGGTGAAACTCGGATAATTAGAATATCGTGCAAAGTTCATTTATTTCACTAATGCAACTTAAAAGGTGAAACTAATATATGAGATAGACTCATTACATGCAAAGAAAGATAATTCAAGCCGTGATTTGTCATAATTGTGATGATTATGGCTTACAGCTCATGAAAACCCCAAATCCACAATCTCAGAAAATTAGAATATTACATGCAATCAATAAAACAAGGATTGTTCATAGAACAATATCGGACCTCTGAAAAGTACAAGCATGCATATGTACTCAGTACTTGGTTTGGGCCCCTTTTGCAGAACTTACTGCAATTACTTTTGCACGATATTCTAATTATTCGAGTTTCACCTGTACTTTTTTATTTTTTAAGCATTAGCCATTTTTGGGGTTGATATGCTGGCTTATTTGTATGGGTTGATGCTGGTCTGAAGTTTGCCGTGCGTTGGTGCTGGTCTGAGGTTTGGCATGCATTGTTTCTGGTCTGAGGTCTGCAGTGCAATGGTTCTGGTCTGAGGTCTGCAGTGCAATGGTAATGCTTCTGGTCTGAGCTCTGCCGTGCAATGGCTCTGGTTTGAGCTCTGCCGTGCCATTCTTCTTGTTTGGGGGTCTGCCGTGCAATGCTTCTGGTCTGAGGTCTGCCGTGCAATGGCTCTGGTCTGAGCTCTGCCGTGCAATGCTTCTGGTCTGAGAGTCTGCCGTGCAATGCTTCTGGTCTGAGGTCTGCCGTGCAATGCTTCTGGTCTGAGGTCTGCCGTGCAATGCTTCTGGTCTGAGGTCTGCTATGCAAAATGTGCTTTGGTTCTGGTCTAAGGTTAGTTGAAAGTAACATCTTGAGTGAGCACCAAGTTTGCCAATAATACTTAAATGCAGATCAAAAATGTAAAAAATTATAATATATATTTTTTTTCTTTCTGGTTTTCTCAAATACAGCCAATCATCTTTACCTAAAAATAAAATGAGGTCACTAACAGGCAGATGAAGAATACACATAACTTTTATTATTATTAACAGTTAACAACTATCTATCATATGATGCATTGAGGATTAAATACAGGAGCTGTTCTTAATTATTTAAACACTGCTTTGATTTTTTTTATATATATATATGTACACACACACACTATTCATCTGCAAGGATGCAGGATATACACAAATCCCCAAATACACAATCAAATGGTCCCAGTGCGTTCCTAACCCTGTTCACATAAGTCCGGAGAAGAGATACAATAATGGACCAAGACAAAAAAAAGGGTCGAGAGGAAGGGACAGAAAGCAATTGCTGTTGCACTGTAGGGATTTACTAGAGTTGGGTCAATGCCTTAGTACTTCAGCAAGAGAAAGCATTTACCTGTTGCTATCCTGATAAATTATATTATCATTACACTAGGATCAGACATAGCATTAGTAATCTTCCTGTATCACGTCACAGACATCCATTTTGCCTATAGCCCTCTCAGAGGGTTAATATCTATTGCAACATTTTTTTTACAGCTGAAGTAATGAAAGTGTAAGGCTCAATATGATAAAGAACACCTCGACTTGCATTTTCACCGAAGCTTGCAACACATTCTTAGCACATGTTCAGCTTTACAGTTCGGTTTTCCTGCAGTTGTTGAATGTCAATCGTGTGTATGCGAACTGCGGCATCTGCGTAACTTTAAAAATTAACTGACCAGCAGATCTGACAAGGCTTGTTTTATACATTAACAAAAAAAAAAGGAACTAGAACATACCATGGAATGAGACATCTGGGTTGTACATCTTTAGTGCTTCTGCTTATAATGGCTAATGGTTTACCATTGCAGTAAACCTGATCAGTCATAGGCTTAAAGTGTGGGTGATCAGATATTTTATATTCTAAGCCATTCCCTGCAATGGAGCATTGATTTATTATTGATTCCACATTACTTAAGGAAAGACTGATCGAATCATGTCTGCTTGGGTCATATGAACCTTTTGTCACGCGGAATGGAAAAAGAGCATTATGATGCACATTAGCTCAGGAAGCAAAAGTGTCAATCCCGCTGCATGTTTCTTATTAAATGACCCACCTGAGTTAACCTACGTCACGAGGAAGAACTTCCTTGGAAAGAAACCAAGAGGCCAAGATTTGCATAGAGAGAAATGGCTGGATTTTTGTACACTTTATTTTACAGGTGCGTGTTGTATTGAGTGCGCTGCAAAAACACACATGCACAATAAACAAAAAACAGGTGTGAAGAAACATGGAACAAGGAAGGAACAGCAGCAGTAAAGGGAATTTGTTAATTTAAAAAAAAGTCTCGTTTCCGTTTAATTTAAAGGTAACTTTTGGCATTCTAAATCAAACATCCGTAACTTCCCAACCCCCCTCCCAATGAACTTGCCTGACCCC